TGATAACATAAATAAAGAAAAAATAGCAGAAGTAAGAGAAGCAGTAATATGGTTGTAGAACCACCCACTCACAAAAGGGAAATAACCCAAGGTTCACTCTAACCTTGTTCCACTATTTTATGAAGCCTAGGGGAGACAGAAAACACCTTCTGAAGTGTCACCTGCAATCCCTCCTTTCCCCATCCACACACACATGGTTTTTACAAGTATCATTATTTTTCTCTGAAACCCCCCACTAAAGGCCCACAGGTATTTACACCACAAACCAGGTTCTTGAAAATACTTCCCAGATGTTGTCATCTGTTCCTGCTTATTTACCAGAGCTCAAATGGATGTTGACAAACAGTCTTTGCTCAAGAGGCAATGCAGTAAAGCCCTTTAATGACAGAACTATGTGTCATCTCTGCCTATAAGCATAAATTTGCACAGCGGGCAGTACAGTGAAAACAGCTTATCATCAACTCATCACCTCTCATCATTGTTAGAATGAAATGCAAATGGAAACGAACATCACTTCAGTCATGGTTGTGAAAATTAGCATCTGTGACATTAGCAGTGGCTCATTTATTATGCACTCAAAATTTCAGGGGGAAAGAAAAGAATATAAAACTTCATAACTCTACCAGTCTTTACCTTTGAAATAAAATTAAAACCTTCAGCTTTCCCCACTCAAGGATAAATCCTAGTTAATATTCATTAACACTGAGCAATCTCTTCACTGCAGATCTTGTCCTACAGAAGTTCTAATTATGTCTCAAATTATTTTTGGTGTTTAGGTTTGCTGTACCTATTTTCTATTTTCTTTTCTTTAATAAGTATTCCCCACTGGAGAGGCACAAGCCATGGTCCGAGAAAAATGCAGCACCAAAAAACTTGCTTATAGCATCTGTCTGCATTAGAGGCTCCATACACTTAGGCAAGCAATAAACTTTACTCAGATAATCCTGCTGAAATCAATGGGATCACAGCTAATTTATTCATTTAAGTCAGAATCAGGATCAGGCCTTTTGTGAAGAAAATATAAAAAGGTGAAATTCTGGCCTCAAGTCTATGGCAAAAATGTGCATTGATTTCTGCAATGTCAGGGTTTCATTTTAAGCTTATAAAAAGTAAAATTACTGGTATGAAATTGTACTAGGGAACAAATTTTCATATTAAAATGTTTCCTCCCATTGGATTTGCCACTCTTTTCTCATAACCCTGAAAACAAATAATGGTTTAGTCACCTAAGTAAGCGACTATTGATTTAATTAGAGGCTTGGATATCTTTTTGCCTAAACAAAATGCAGAGGCACTGACCCTGAATTGTCTTACACCCCAGAAGTAAGCTGAGTTTAAAGCACCAAGTGCATTTGGAAGAAGCAGAATAAGGAGACAAAAACGTCTCAAACCTTTAGCATAAACACAGATCAACTGTCATGTAGAATAATAACACAAGACTTTCTTCAGTCAAGCCAGAAAAAATGGCACAAAGTCGTCTTTGCTTCACGTTGAAGTAAAGCCAAGAATCATCAGGCAGTTCTCAAGTTTGCTGTGTCCGGAGGAATAGGGAAGAGAGAGAGAGAGAAAGGAGTAGGTTCTGCCCAGCACATTACATGTGCTGGCAAGTGGGCAAGACAATGCAGGGATGCTTTACAGATTATTTGCAACTGGATAAATGTGTAAAACAGTGTGAAGTGGAATGCAGAATAGCTGTGAAGTGCTTTAATGGGGTTTTATGTGTATGGTGCTGCCTGAAGGGTGTACAAAAGAGAAGACTAGAACCTGTATAATTCGTTTGCTTTTTCCTTACCGTCATTCTAAATCTGCTTCATTACACTCCCCAGATGCACTGACATCTGTAACATCGTAGAGGCTCAGAGAGGCTGAAATCCAGGTGATTTCAGGACTCTTTCCTTCATCCTCCATGTCCACTGCTCTCCTCCTCCTCAGCTCCCTGAGGGGTGCTGGGACAGACTGCACAGACCCATAGCTGAAGCACATCTAGGATATGTGTCCTTTCCCCACTTGCTTTCCCACTCTGCCATGATCCACGTGCTGTCCCTGCAGTGAGCCACTCCAGCCATCAGCGTGACCATGGACCTCAGGGCTTTGTGCAAGACCTACTTTGTCTGACCTCACCTGCCCACAAATAATTCTGCAGCTCTGAGCAGCTGCACCGTGTAAACCAAGCTGTGTCTCATCTGGCAGAAATGAAAGGAGGGCAGGTAAGGACTCCCTAAAGGGAGGGACAGGATATGCACACGTTCTGCTGTGGTACAAAGTCATTTAAGGTCCTGGATAGACAGATAGGTTAAATCAGATAGGCTTGGAATAGAGAGCTTCAACCCTTCAATTGGTTGAATTACTTCAACATTAAGCAGGGTATTTTTAACCCTTAAGACTTTTCCTTTATAATTCAGCTTCCTAAGTTGTTATAAAAGGTGTAAATGTGCCATAGTATGAACAGCTACGATGATAAACATTTGCAAAGGATCAGAATCCTTCCAGTATCTCTTTCAAATGCATTTCTGTATCATTTCTCTCCCAGTTTTCTCTGGAATGACACCTGGTTTAGATGTCTTTTTGCCTAACAATGAATATTTATTTATATAAATGCATTCAGTAGTTATATGCATATCCATGAATACGCAAGAACTGCCAGACATTGAAAGAAGTTATTAGCATGGCTGCAGCACCACTGAAATCTTGCTGAATGACAAAAAAAAAACCCTGCAAAACTATTTTGTGGCATAAATTAACTTTACCATAGTGTACACTGAGAGTGTTAAAATAGATTTTTGTCTATGCAGCATCTAACACATCTGCAGAAGTCCCTTAAGCACCACAATAATAAATAAGGTAAATGCATTGCACATGGTGAACAGTGAGATACTGAACTTGTATTACTCTTGCATTGGTCATTGAATCACCCACATCCATGAGGGGCTTTATACAGGGACAGCAAGTTGCCTCGAGAAAGGCTTTAACACCAGCCTTCTGGAATATTCATTCATCTTTATCAAAAGACATCAATTCATGCCAGTATTCTTCACATTAGAAAGTAATAAAACCAAAAGGATTAAAAAGAAAATACTGGTTAAACACTCTAATTAACACACAGAAATTCATACTGTTGTGGTAAAGACAAGTAGTCACCATGGTTAAGATTCAATTACCTAAAAGATCTTTCTAGTGTCCCCTTTGAGGGTCTAAGGCTGCAAAACTGATTTTGATTTTAATTTGAAATTAAAAACAGGCCTTATGGCTCTCTCACAGGTCTGTGTGGATGTGTTGGAGACACTGGGATGTCTAAGAGGCCTAAAGGCAAAATGAGGTAGCCCAAGACCTGCCCAGTGGTGAAGGTATCATGCCGTGCGAGCATGAGGAGATACCAAATGTGGCAGGCACAGAGCAGGGCCAACCAGGACGTGACCTACAGAGGTCACTTGTGAAATCCTGTAACTTCTCCAAGAGGTGAGGCCTTGTGTCCCATCTTACCCAACTCAGCATTAAGCAACTTGAGTATTTACGTTGCTTCCCTGGGACAAGTTTTGAAATGTGCTACAACAAGCCAAGATTCCTGTTCTATGCAATGTGGGGGCTGTCTGTTCCTCTGCCCTGATTGTGAGCAGCACATTCAGCAAGGCATTCCCCTTGTGGAAATTTTACACAGTTCTGTACAAAAGTGGGCCTTTAAAAATAAAAATCAGACTATTGTTAAAGAATGCCTTATTTTGGAAGATGAGAGCGGCCAAAACTGGCTTTTGAAAATATTTTAAAGACAGGGAAATAAAGCCCATTCCCAGAGTCTTACATGGTCATTTCTTGTTTAATCTGTAATATAATTAGGTACTAATTATAATTCTTCCCTGCCATTAAAACACAGTTTTATGAATGAGCAGAAAAAAAAAAAAAATGCATACCAAGCCAACCAGTGCAATGCTTAAAAAAATTTAAAATGTGGGGGAAAATAGTATCAAAATCACTTCAAATCCATGGAAAAAGCCATTAATTTGAACTTTTAATGAGTCATGGTCTAAAATTGCAAGCACAGTCTACAAAAGCCAATGCTGTGTGAAACCAGAAGACCTTCTTGCTGAAACAATGTCTGCAGTAATCTCTTAGGACACAGAAGTCACTAAAGGAGATCTATTCCCAAACAATGAGAAGGTGGATCTGTAAATTGGGAAACACTAGTTGTTGAGAGCAGAAAAATAATAAAAGGCTTTTCTAATCTCTTTGTTAAATTTTCAGCACTGATAAACTGAGGCAGAAATGGAGGCTGAAGTACTCAGGTTGAGCAGTAGCTGTTGCACTGCAGCCTTACAATATTCTACAATACTTGTACAATACAATGCACAGAGGTCATTTTACACTCAATCCAGGGCAGGGACTGAAAATAAATTTTGAGCATCAGACATATCCTTATGCATCTTGCAAAACTCTCACTTCCTTTCTTACAATTCCAAATTGTGGAAAGTGTCCAGTGTAGCACATAGTCATTTTGCTTAGAGTATTTCTTTCAGACTGGTATTTTAATGATTCCTGGAGAAATTAAGATGACAAGCACTGATTGCAAAGTATCCTCTTCTCCTGTGATTCTGGTGATGCAAAAGCAAATATATTAAAATAAGGAACAAATTTAATAGTTTTTCTAATTTTTCACTGATTCTCACACTCCTTTCTGGGACATCATTGGTTTATCATAGATGAAATAGAGAAAGGGGATTTTAAGTGCCCATCTGCTAAAAGACTGATGCAGAGTATAAAACAACAAAGTCCAGCACCAGAATTCTTAGCACAGCTATACCAGCTTCACAATGATGATCCCTTGAACTGGATCTTTACTATTATAAAGTGAGTATATGCAAACAGATTCCTGAGATTATAGAACCGAAGTACTTCCAAGCACATTAAAAAATCCTGAAGCTAGGATTTAAGAGGAAACCCTCATATTAAAAATTGCTAAGAATTCCTGCTATTATTATTAATTGGCAACAAAAACGAGACATTCTTACCTTTGGCTTTTGGCTTTTCTCCTTATCAGACGCATTAGATGGTTTTCTCTTCAGCATGTTTAACTCAGTTAATCCACTGAACGTGCAACTGCTATGAATTTGTAACCAAACTAAGTGCAAGGGAAGGCACTCTGGACGTGTGCATTGGTTATGCAGTTCCTTTTTCTACCAGGATGTGACTTCACATGGCTGCTTTGTGGCATAGGGGAGCAAACTGAATTCTTCCTTTGGGGAGGGGGTGAAGAAGGAAGGAAGGAAGGAAGTGATGAGGGACAAGAAAGAGAGAGGTGCACCAAGGAGATGAGTTGAAAATTAGGGCAGGGGTCAAAGTAGAAATGCTTTAAAACTTATCTGCTGCTATGTTACCATCAGCCCTTAGTAAGATTTTGGACAACCTCAAGAAAATCATTCTCTTTTCCTCTCTCAATTTTTCTCTCCCTAGTCTTATGGCACTAAATGCATCTTTATTTCCACCAGTGCTGGAACTTGTGTATGAAGAAGGTGTGCTGATATTCAGAGGACCAAGAACTATTATTGATATCAGATGTGAGCTACACTGTGGGTGTAATTGGCCCCTAAGTCCTCCATTCCTCTCTTGGCTCTCCAGCAGTGCAATAAAAGCAATGAGATTGAAGGTTGCTGTTTGGTAGAGAAGGGAATTATGTAAAGCCATCTTTTTCTTTTGCATGGTGGAATAATTTTTTTTTTGCCATTCATCACAGAACTGGGACTCCCTAAACCAGCCTTTTTCAGTCCTCCATTTTCCTTGATTTGCTGAAAAAGTCACTGGGAGAAAAGGCAAGTCTTACAGAAGACTTTAAACAAAGAGGCTGGGGGAAATGGCAGAGGTCCTCTACAACCTCTTGAAAAGCACCCCAAAAGCTAAAAGAAAGTGAAGCTATTAAAAGAGCTGAAAATCCTGCTTCATTTTTCTTGAAACTTTTTATCTTAGAGAAAAACTCAAAAGTCTTGAGCATCCTTATTTGTTGTGAATCATAGGCCACAAACCTTGAAACTGTGAAATATTCCCAACATTTTGCTGAGCAATGGAGGCAAATTCTCAGTTTCAAACCCCAAATTTTCAGGGTCCTCACAGAACTTCAATTAAATCTTAATTTAAGATTACTGCATATGTAAAAGAATTATCTTAGTAAGTTGCAAGAAAAGGGTTCAGGTGTAACTGTCAAGAAAAAAAAAAACTTTTGGCAATTTTTTTTTCTTTTTTCAAAATTTTGTTATTTTTTCAAAATTATTATTTTCTAAGCCTTAACTCATAATTTTGGCATAAATAAAAGCTCTTTTTAAAATACTCTTCTTTCTCTTCTACCATATGAATATTCTAAGGAGGGATAAGACATACTCATCAGATGAATTCCCATTTTGGCTTGCTATTTGGACTTCTCTTTAAATGTTTAAAAGAAGTTTTGGAGGGTTTTTGGGTTCTAATGGACAGGCAGCTGGATGGACTGAGACTGACTGATGAAGGAATAATTGTTATACACTAATAGTATTATGAGGTTTTCCTTTCCAGGCTTTCTAAAATTTGGGTTGGTAAGAAGGGGAGGAGGAACTGGGGTTAAGACACCAAAATTCTGTCAAATAAAGACCCAAAACTCTCTTGGTTAGTGGGCTGCAGTGGACTAAGTTTTGAACCTCAGCCCATAAAGCTTCACTTCACATTTTAATCAGAACAATACTAATTTAAACCAAAGTTAAATATCAGGGTTTTATTATTGAAAATAATATATCCATTAGAGTTCCTAATTATTGATATTATTATTAATTAATTTATAATAATTATGAACTCTGAGATTTTTTTTTCCTTTATTTGAAAAGACCACCTGAAACATCAGTTTAAGTTTCTAAGCAGAAGGAGGTTTTACCATGGATATTTAATCAGCCTCAGTAATTCCGCAGGGCCATAAGTTGTTACAAAAGCTGCATGTATGTTTAATAGTAATTAAACTTGATTATTATCTCCATAGATTTACATTGCAGTATATTGGTTTTCTTTTTAATTTGATCCAAATGTGAGGATTAAATCAGACTCTGCTGATCATTAGACTGTGATTTCCTGTCTCAGGCCACTGTTAAAATCTTCATGATTAATAAAATGGGAACTCAGCTGAAGAGTAATATATGAGCTTCCTTTCTGTAGAATATTTATTGTTAAACAGGAAGAAAGAGGCTATTTCAAGAGATATAGTACCCACCCATATCTATTTCCTTTCCTCATCCACATATCAGAAAAATTATAGCAGCTTGAAGGCTGACCTGATTATGTTCTTGCCCTTGGAAGGTTGACCCACCAGTTTTAAAAAGTAACAAAGTGAAGAAAATCAAATATATATAACATTAAGTTCATTTAAATTAGTTAACCATTAGGTTTCAAAAGGAGCACTTTTGAATTAAAAATTAATAATAAGCCTAATGCTTATATCCTCTGTATTTGAAGCTAATTTTTTAAAGGGGAATGAGTACTTGTGTAAAATTTAAAGAAAAATTCTTATACTTAATATTCTGTTGGACAGGACTGCTGGACTTTGAATCTGATCCAAATCCCAGTGAAATCAATAGAAGTTTTTCAGGTAATTTTTATGGGGCTTGGACTGACTCCTCTATCCTGAACCAGGCAATGTCACTCTTTTATCTGGAAAGTCTTACAGGCAAAAAGGCTATCCACTTAAAAATAATTAAGATGACCCCATGAGAATGATTCTCACTGTCATTATATTTATAAAAGGCAACATCCCTTACAGCTTATTATTATCATTACTCACTTTTAATGAATGGACTGTGATGAATGATCCTGGATGTTCAAGTGCTTTATGTGCCTCCCTCCCACATGGTATCATATTCCCTCAGGGGCTCCATCCAGTTACCTTCCCTGACAGGAGAGATCACTTCCAGACCAAACTGCAAGAGTAAACTTATCCTTTCAATACTTGATTATACTGATAAAACCAGAAAGTAGGGTGTGAAGTAGGTTGAAGTGTTTAGCACTCTGGCCACCTGTCAAAATGCAAATGAAATGAGACTTTCTCTGTGTTAGCAACTCGTTTTTCATTGTCTGTCAGACAAAACTGGTCCAAGTTTAACTGGAGGCTCAAAGATACCTATGGGGCTCTACATTGCTTTCCCTAATACTAAACAAGCCCAGAGTGTCTTAGTCTGTTTATTTTAATTAAAAGATATGCTTTGAACAAGAAAGGAATCCTGCCTTCAGCCTGTGATTTTATGGCCGTGCACCTCCCTCTGCTATCTAGCTTGCTTAGATATTGCAGAAATCTCAGAATAGCAAGTGAAGCTGAGTGAATAATTTGCAGTGAATAATTTACTCAACAAATTTAATCTTTATTTCCTCAAGGAATGTTCGTGAGCAGAACACAATTTCCTCAAATGTATTAATTATGGGCCAGAATTTAGCTAGATACTTCCCTCTCCTGGTCTGATTTCAGCCATCCACAACTACAGTCGCTGCTAATCCTCAGCAGAGCTCTCTCCATAAACTACCACAGCAAAGACTCCTCAGAAACTAAAAGGAAAAAGTGTGAAAAGTGAAATCAAGCCCCCTCTCCACTGGCAACTCATGAAAGAAGACAGAGGTTGAGGCCTGGGCTGTAACGCTTTAAACAACACACTCACTTCAATTTTAATGCCAAAGATTGAGGCTGTGATTTTCCACTGGATTGCTGGGGAATGGAACTGGATACTTAAAGTCCCATCTTTAAGATTCCCACATGCTCTGAAAACTCATCCAGAACTTAGTATTGAAAATTGGTCCAAAATATTTAGGGACTTCACGCAACAAGGTGCATGATTTCCTATTGCATAGGCTCCCATGTGCTTTTCTTATCAGGAATAGAAAATGGAGAAGCAACAGAACCTCAGAGTCTTAGAGAGACAGGTCATGGTTAAAGAATATTTTAAGCTTACAGTTTTGATTTGTGGCTGTGTTGACCCTATCAAGAAGATTCCTATCCCATACAAAGTATGATACTTATGAAACATGGCTATGCAGCCAAGGGAATAACTAACACCTAAATTAAAAAATTTAATTTTTGCTTCAAAAAATTATTGTTAAATCATTTACATTGAGTGGATTTTTAACGACATACATAAAATGAAAAGACATAAGACACCACAAAGAGTGGGAGTCAAAGCTTGTTTGAACGACCTCCAGGGTGCAGAACAGCAGGAATACCCTCATCATGCCAGGTCCCAGGAAATGGGATTTCAGCCTCCCAGACTATTGGGCTTCCTTCTCTTTCTGAAAAAGGTGTTACTGTGATTCTTCCTTCTTTTATGCTAACCCTTTGCCTTTAAGGTCAATGGAGTCATAAAGAATTATGGCAGGGACAGGCAATAGAACACCACTACCAGAGTTTAAAGAGGTGTCTGGTCCAAAAGAGTGGTTGATGCTGTGTGAGTAAGAAAAAGTGTCTCATTGCCAGGCCCTGTGTCCTTGGCATGTTCCCAACACCACCTGGCCTAAAGGGAAATTGAAGTACCAGGAACTTATCTCAAGCTTTAATCCCAACACATTCTCTTGCATTAGCAGTAGATGAACAGATCAGTCATACCTACACTATGTCAGGTTAGCCCTAACACTAATAAAAATCTATACTACTGTGACATAAGGATTCTCAAGGAGATCGCCTTTCACCTATTGAACAAATCCCTTTCTTATTAGCTTGAAGAGTAAGAGCCAAAGTTGTGTCTATATCTTCTAGGTGTTCCTATTGAGAAAACTCAAAGTCAGCAAGGTTGATGTCTTGTAAAGCAGAAGCCACAGACTTATCCAGCATCTGTGTAAAATCTGCTGCAGAAATGTGCGTCACTGGTGGTTTTCCTGTGCAATTCCTGTACTCTGCAAGCAGAGTGCACTTTCCAGTTTGTGATGAACAGCAGAAAGCAATGGGCAGGATGCTGCTGCTGCGAGTTCAGACGTGCAGGGAAGCAGCCACACTGTTTCTCAGAGTGAATGTTAAAATCAATGTTAAAATACGCTGCAGTGTTCATACCTAGAACATCTCAGTGGATTCCATTGGTGAACGCCGTGATTACTAATCAGCTACAAGGGCATTTTATCCCATGGAATTTGCGGGTTTGGATGACTTGTTTTATAGTCATCCAGCTGAACCTCAGCGTCCCAGAAACGCGTTTACACATAA